ACTTTCCTCGGGCTGGGTCTGAGCGCGGGGCGTGAGAACAGGCAAACCAGCCCCCTGTCCCGCCTCATTGGTCCAGCTCAGCCCTTCTGGGCGACCCTTCACATTACGTCAGGACGCTCTACCGCTAGTCGCACGCTGAAAGATGGTTCACTTCTCATTGGTCTCCGTTAGCCAATAAAAAAAGGATAATCTGGTGGTTTTTCATTGGTCCGCTAAGGATGATTAACTGCCCCTTTCATTTACGCAAAGTTGAGGCGTGTAATGCGTCTGCACAAGCGCATGCGCAGTTGTGAAGCGTTGCGGATTTGTGTTTTTTTTTTCCCTAGTCCAAAATGGCTTCAGGTTGTTAAAATGGAATATTTTCCCCATTCATTTAGAAGTACCTTGTAATCCGCCTCGTTTGTGTAATATTCTAGAAAATTCGGACCTAACCACGTGATTGTTAGCTATCTTATTCCCTCATTCTGCCTCTAAAGTTTTTCAAATCAAGATGAAAAAAGTAAAAGCAGGAAACAGATACAGACTTAATAGCACTGAAGACTTTTTTAAAAGTAAATGAGCTAGAGCTTATTGAATACCTTCTGTGTCCCAGGAACTGTGCCATGTGCGGTGCACAGAGCGGACATCAAAAGTGATTTTTTAAAGTTTTTTTATGACATTTTTAAAGTTAAACTTATTAATTTATTACTTTAAGACAAGGACTTAAATTTCTGGTTATAGACAGCAAATACCGACTTTTTATTATTTTGTTTGGAAGATGAGCATGAAGCTAAGGTTGTAAGGAAGGATTTCTGTCTTTTTAGTTTTTGTGTCATAGTCCATATTCATTAAACCTCAATTCCCCTATGTAAAACAATAAAAATCCTACATAGCTGAAGAAGTTTCCATTTATTTGGTCCAGTTTTGTGTATCATAGTGGGCTGTAAAACTGGGATAATTTAACTAGAGAAGAAGAATATACTCAAGAGGAAAAATACCAACAAAATAAAATCAGTTGTCTATAACTTGGATTTATTTCCATGGTGTGAAACATCATATGACTACTCTTTTAGGCCTTGCTGGGAAACACATGCACACACATGCACAGAGAAAAAGAATTTCATTATGTTGGAGAGATAAGGATATGTGTATGGAAGGGAAAATAGCTGGTTCTGAAGTGAAAATATGTGATCTGGAGATATGAAAAACATTTTAAGACATTTACAGACACTCATAATAAGAATAATACAAAATAAAAGTATATGGAGACATGCTGTTTGATTCTATTTATATGACATTCTGGAAAAGACAAACTCAAAGGGACAGAGAATAGATCAGTGGCTATCTGGGGCTGGATGTGGGGAGAGAGGAGCCACATAAAGGAAATTTTTGTGGTGATGTAACTGTTATGTCCTTTATTGTTGGGGTGGTTTACTAGGCACTTGTCAAAACTCACAGACTGGTACACCAAAAAAGAATGAATTTTACTGCATGTAAATTGAATGAATAAAAATTAAGGTAAATTTTTTAAAGAACACAGAATCTCACCTATCATATTGGCAAAAATTCAATACATGCCATCATCAAGGCTGTGGGGAAACATGCACCCTTATACAATGCTGGTGGAAATGTAAAATGGCATATCTACGGAGGTTAAGCTGAAAATATCCAGCAAAACTACATAAGCATTTATCCTCTGATCTAGCAATCCCACTTCTAGGAATCTAATCCAAAAAAATAAGAATATATGTGCACAAAATTATTCATTTTAGCACTATTTATAATTGAAATATTCTCAAAAATACCCAAATGTTCAAATACAGGAGACTGATTGAATATACTATGGTACATTGTTGGTTTACAAACTGGACACTGTATATGCAGGGCAAGGAGAGACCAAGGAGAGACTGAGGCAGACCATTCTAAGTTGATAGTTTTTCTAAATTTTTATTTATTTTTTATTTTTAAAGATTTTATTTATTTATTTGAGACAGTGAGAGAGCGCATGCATGACCATGAGCGGAGTAGGGGCAGAGGGAGAGGGAGAGGGAGAAGCAGATTCCCCACTGAGTGCGGAGTCCGACCTGGGGCTCAATCCCAGGACCCCGAGATCATGACCTGAGCCAAAGTCAGATGCTTAACTGACTAAACCACCCAGGAGCCCCTAAAATTTTTATTTTTTTTCTTCAAGTATAGTTGACATACAATGTTACATTAGTTTCAAGCATACGACATAGTGATTTTACAATTCTATACATTATGCACTGCTCACCACAATGAGTGTAGTCACCATACCACATTATAAAAATCTTATTGACTAAATTCCCTATGCTGTCCTTATCTCCATGACTTATTTATTTTACAACTGGAAAGTTGTACCTCTTAATCCCCTCCACCTATTTCACCCATCCTCCCTCCCTCTGGCAACCACCAGCTTGTATTTATGAGCCTGTTTCTGTTTTTTATTTGTTAATTTATTTTTTTTTAATTCCACATATAAGTGAAATCATATGGTATTTGTCTTTCTCTATCTGACTTCTTTTACTTAGTATATACCCTCCAGGCCCATCCATGTTGTCACAAGTAGCAAGACTTCATTCTTTTTATGGCTAAGTGATATTCCACTGTGTATAACACACTTTACCCATTTATCTATCTATGGACACTTAGGTTGTGTTTTTAATAAACAAGGGAACTCATGAGGCTTGTCTTGGGGAGCTGCAAAATGACTAGAGATTCCCACCTGCCCACCAGAATCTCAAAAGTTTATATAGAGGCCTTAACTGGATTCAGTCATGTATGCTGTCCAGATGGTCTCAATAATAACTTACTTTCTCAAGGCTTTGTGGTTGGAATAGCTCCCACTTGGGAAAAGTAGGAAGAATGTACATTCCCAGAATGGGGTTTGGGTGAGGGGTATATGATTGCCTGGATCCAGCTGGCAGGTCAACTGGCAGTCGAGTCCTCTTTATTACCTCCTCCAACATATGTAAATACCATGGAGTATTTCACAGCTATAAAAAAAAAGGAATGAGGAAGAGTTGTGTAAATGATATGGGTTTTTAAGATCGATTTTTCAGTGAAAAAAAAACAAAGTACAAAAGAATATACATATTATGCTACATTTGTGTAAAACAGAAGAGGAATTAGGAAAATATACACATATTTGCCCATTTTATGTATGTTGGAGGAGGTAATAAAGAGGACTTGACTGCCAGTTGACCTGCAAAAGGAAACACAGAAAAAGTTAAACCAAAAACTAACAAAGTTGGTTATCTACAGGAGGTGGAGGAAATGGAGTGGAACAGTTATGGGAGGGAATGACACTTCTCTAAGTATACAAGTTTTTATAGTTTTTACTTTTGTAATAATGTAAACATTTCTAAAATAATCCAAATATAAAACCAAATCATTTGGTTTTTCAAGATGAAAAAAATTCTAAAGATGAATAAGATGAATAGTGGTGATGATTGTACAAAAATGTAGATGTACTTAATGCTACTAAATTGTACACTTAATAATTATTAATGGTAAATACTATGTTATGTACAATTTTTAAAATAAATTAGAGGGGTACCTGGCTGGCTTAGTTGGTAGAGCATGCAACTTTTGATCTCAGGGTTGTGAGTTTGAGCCCCACATTGGGTGTAGAGCTTAGTTAAAAAAATAAATAGATAAAAATTTGAAGGGAATCCTACTGATCACATCTGGGACTCCTGATTACTAAAATAAATCATGATAGTAATGGATTATAACTACTGAATCCACAAATCCATATTGATAATGAACAAATAAATTGGAGAGGGAATAAAATTCCTCCCTACAGTAGAACACCCACTATTAAATATAGAAGGAATGATAGAATTAGAAAATCACCATATGAAACTTTCATACTAATAATTAATTTGGGCAAAAATCATCAATGGATACAAAAACTAGTGGGTGAAATTTTGATGAAGAACAGGATGTTCACATAAGTCGATGTACTTTTCACGTTACTTATTTTATTACAAAGGGAAAAAAACAGTAACTTTAGTTTAGGAACTTGGAAGCCACTCTTTGGACCAAAGGATTAAAGTTGGCAATAATGAGACAATAATTGGACATTGTGTGCTTCCTGACAAGATACCCTAAAAAGACACATCTGTTATGTAGTGTTCCTGCCAGAAGTGCATAAACTGAATTTAATTATGAGAAAATATCAAGCACACACAATTTGTGGGAATTTTTATAAAATAACTAGCCTATACTCTTCAGGCCGTGATCCTAGGTTGTGGCCTATACTCTTCAAAAATGTTACAGAGCACAGACCAGTGGAGTCAGAAGGTCCATTACCGGTTCTTCCACTTACACTCATCACGTATTTACCCACATATTACGAAGTTTTTTGCTATTCTTGCAACTTTTCTCTAAATTTGAAATCATTTCAGAGGCGCCTGGGTGGCTCAGTTGGTTAAGCGACTGCCTTCGGCTCAGGTCATGATCCTGGAGTCCCTGGATCGAGTCCCGCATTGGGCTCCCTGCTCAGCAGGGCGTCTGCTTCTCCCTCTGACCCTCCCCCCTCCATGTGCTTTCTCTCTCTCTCATTCTCTCTCTCTGAAAAATAAATCAGTAAAAAAAAAAATCTTAAAAAAATAAATTTGAAATCATTTCAAAATTAAAAGTTAAATTACTATACAGTAATAGACAAAAAATTAGAGAAGTGAAGGAAGTTCGGGGGACTCAAAAGAACCTGCAAGCCTCTGAAACGCCAACTTGAAGCTAGTGCCTTTGATGATTCAGTCTACGATCAGTGTATCAGCTCTCTCCTGTAGAGCCCTAAACCTGGCTCCAAGGCGCGGGTGAGATGGGGAGAGTTTCTCTCATTCTTCACTAAATACCAGCACAAGCACAAAGCGTGAAACTACATTTCCCAAAAAGCCTTTATCTTTCCTGTCCCTAAAGAGAATTAGTTTCTATGGGGTGTTTTTTCTTTACAGGTCTCGCGAGATTTCATTAACTCTCATTAAAGAGCCCAGTCGAAAGCCATTTTGTTTTTCAGGGCTCTTTGCAAGGAGACTTGGAACGAAGTTGTAGCAAAGCAGCAGCTACAGTTGCACCGTTGTATCTTCAGCTTCAGAATGTTTCCCATAGCCAGAACCGCTCTAAGTCGTCTCCGAGGTAAGCAAAAATTGTGAGCAAATTATTTCCAACCGCCTTTTACCTATTTGTCTTAGTGGTCTCTCGTGCCCTTTCCTTCCACCTGCATCCCTATTTCTAATCCTGAATGCGCAGTCTCCCGCCTCGCCCCAAGTAATTGGGAAGCTGTCCTTAGCATTTACTTAATCCCCCAGTGTTTCTGTTTTGGTTCCCAGCTCACTTTCTGTTACCAGAGTCATAGCATAGCCCTGTTTTTTGTTTTTGCTTTTTAAATTCACTGACTTATGATTTCAGGGAAGGAGGTTCTTGGTGGACACTGCTCATTCCTTCTAATTTCGTAAATTTTAGCATTGAGTACATTTACCCCCAAAGAACTTCTCTCCAATTCCTGTAACTGTAACGGAAGGAAACTGGAAATCTAGCTCTTTCTTTGGTTTCATAGCAAGGAGACAACCCAAGTGGTGGCCCTGCAGCTTTTATGTTGTTTGTTGGTTATTAAATAAATATAAGCTTATTCGAAAACAATTGTAATTTTTTCTTATCTAAAAGTTTGGCAGGTACAAGGGAATTTTGAGACCAGCCTTATGTATTGAGAATGCACTAGATTGGAAGGAGAAAATTCATTTCCGTACTTGATTTGCAGTGAAGGTGACCTTGAGTAATGTGAGCAGTTGTTTTACATTGAAAGTGACCTTAAGCAATTACCATTTAGCTTCTTTAGCCATCTTTTTATTTTTAGTTTACAGAGTCATTAGTAGTATTACTAGATTGTGTTCTAAATACTCAAAACAGCTTTGACAGTCACCAAAAAAATAGTTGCCCAACTGGTTTTTTAATATTCCAAAAGCCACATCTGTTATCTCTTTCACTTTGGGCAAATGATTTTTCTCTGAACCCCATTTTCCTGCTTTGTAAAACAGGGGGTTAGCAAATAATTACTACCTCAAACAATTGTTGAGGATTATATGAGATTACCAATAGGTGGTAACTAAACCATTTCTTGTTACAGAAGAGAAGTCTAAAGAAATCCACTTGGGTGACCTGAATTTTGAGGTCATGAGATGTTGCAGAATTGTTTGGTAATTTTAATTTATTTGCCCTTTGAGCAGGTAGGGCCTTGTACCCTAGGAAAGGGAATTTTTTGTGTTTTTTTTTCAATGTGGAATTCACATTCTCACTTTTTAACTGCTCTAGAGCAGAATATATTGTGAAATGTTTGTAAATTTACTCATCCCAAGTGTGTCTAAAGGTGAAAAGAAAACCTGTAAGGCAATTAAGAGAAATCATTAATGGTCAAATAACAGCAGGAAATAACCCCTTGTATCACATAGAAGCCATTATATTCTTAAATGCCAGTGAATGGGCAACATTGCTGTTTCTTTTTTTTTGTTTTTTAAATATGGTTTCCATTACAGGGGCGCCTGGGTGGCTCAGTCCGTTAAGCTTCCAATCCGTGGTTTCAGCTAGGGATGTGATCTCAAGGGTCTTGGGATCTTACTCAGTGGGGAGTCTGTTTCTCTCCCTGCTCTTTCTCTCAAATAAATAAATCTTAAAAAGATACATGCTTTCCATTACATAAGTACCATTTGAGGCTCTAAAACAATAAGGATTGGGGCGCCTGGGTGGCTCAGTGGGTTAAGCATGTGCTTTCGGCTCAGGTCATGATCTGAGGGTCCTGGGATCAAGCCCCGTGTCTGGTTCCCCGTTCCTTGCTCAGTGGGGGTACTCTGCTTCTCCCTCTGTGCCCCCCATGCCTTCTCTCTCTCTCAAATAAAATCTTTAAAAAAAATAAAACAGTAAGGATCTGTTACTTAGGAAGGAGAAAAAAAAATCTGGAAATATGCATTTTGCAGTCTTGGCTCTTTGCCAAGCTCTCTTAAGAGCCTCTCGAGCAGTTTGGGAACTCATTCTACTAAAGTAATAGTAAAGCAAAGTTTTAATGTTATTCTGCTCAAAAACCTCTGCCTCTACCAAAAAAGTGGCCCTCCGTTATCCTTTCTAGTTTTATCCCTATTGCTTGTCTGTACACCTCATCCTTCAACCAAACATAATTTGTTTTCTAGAACACGGGGCTTTTTTTTCTCTGCTTTTTTTCAGATTTCCCTTTCCTACATCTACATAACCAAATCCTACCTGCTGTTCAGAGTGCTTAGCTAATCTACTTTTTTTTGTATTACAGCGATTTGTGTATACATGTCTCATATCCTTCTCTAGATCGGAGGTTACTTGAAGACGGGGTCTGTGTCTTACACATTTTCGTGTACCGTGTTTCTTTTAGCATAGTGTTGTACTCATAGTAATTATTTATTTTTTAAAAGATTTTATTTATTTGAGAGAGAGAGAGAGAGAGAAGCAGACTCCCCGCTGAGCAGGGAGCCCGACCTGGGACTGAGTCCCAGGACCCTAGGACCATGACCTGAGCTGAAGGCAGACACTTAACCGACTGAGCTACCCAGGCGCCCTCATTAATAATTTTCAAAAAAAAAAAAACATTACTCTAGTTTTTGGAGGGTTTTTTTTTTTGTAATTTTAAGGTCATAAACATTTGGTATGCTTTAATTTGAAATTCATTTTGAGTTTACCCTTTTATGTTGTAAGTTGCTGAGCACTACAGAGTAAACTAGTGAAAATTTAAGTCCTAGATATTCAAATTAATGAATAGGAGCCAAGTTCCAGAGGTTTGTAGTGAATGTTACTGGCATCACCTGTTCTGTTTTATCCCCCAAGATTTTATTATGAAAACTTTAAGACATAGAGAAAATTTGGAAGAATTGTATGATAAACACACATACTGCACTGCATAGATACAATTAACATTTTGATATATTTGTTTTCTCACGTATCTATACATGTGTCAAATTATATTATTTTTGATGCATTTAAAGTATACTATGCTTTTCTGCTACAATGTTTTAACACTGTATTGAACCACAAAGTACTATAAAGTTAACATCCGTTGCTTTCCTGATTAGCAGTATCAATTACATGTTCTTTTTTCCTTATAATTGATATGCTTCTGTATTCCTTTTTTTTTCTTTAAGTTCAAAGCATTCCACAAACAATGGCAAGGCAGAGCCACCAGAAAAGGACACCTGATTTCCATGACAAATATGGTAATGCTGTACTAGCTAGTGGAGCCACTTTCTGTATTGCTGTATGGGCATATGTAAGTACTGTTGACTGATAATTTTCTATATTAGATGTCTTCCATTCCTACTTATTTTATGTATTCAAAATGTTTTCACAGAGTAGTATACATTTTTAGTTAGGAGGGACTTCAGAGATTTTCTGATGTAATTACCCACCCAGTGCAGGAATTTCTTCCATAGCTTTAAGCATTCACATTCTACCCATCATTTTCTTTCTCTCTCTCTTTTTTTTTTAAAGTAATCTGTACACCCAACACGGGTTTGAACTCCCAACCCTGAAATCAGGAGTTACACGCTCCACCAACTGAGCGAGCCAGGTGCACTACCCATCATTTTCTTGCAACAAGAAATTCTGATCCCATTTCCATGTATCAACCATTAGATACTAGAAACCAAAGATACTAGAAAAATTAGATACTAGTTTCCTGGATCTTCTCTTTCAGATTAAACATCCTTAGTTCTGTTAATCACTTTTTGTTACATGGTTTCCAGGGTTTTCACCATCTTGGGTCACCTTCCTTCACTTAATCAGTTTCTTTTCTAAAATTCTGCCAGAACGGAGTACAACATTTCTGATGGTTGAGATGTACAGTGACTTGATTTCATTATTCTAGTTTTTTACATCTTACATTTAACAATCTTCTTACCAGTTGATGTACTTATTGATTAAAAGGATAAATATATAAGTTGTTCTTAAAAGATACCTATTAACCTTGCCTTAATAAACAAAAATATTTATTAGTGGGGCTTTTCATTCTTGTTTTAACCTGAAATATACTGTCAAAATAGGTGTGTGTGTACTTAATTAGAAGAGTAATTAGATGTTGAACAAATGCATGATCAGGGGCACTTTTGGAGGTGGTGTTCCTTGATGAAAGGATATTATAAAAGTGCTCTTTGGCAGTACTTGGGTAGTTGTGTTTGAGTGAAGCAGTGTTTGAGGAGGTACTAGAGAAATGTGAAGTAAAAATTTGAATTAATGAAAATTGCTCAGTCATACTAGCCACATTTCAGTTGCTCAATAGCCATATGTGGCTATTGTGTTAGTGAAGATCTAGACATTTCTTGCATCTCAGGAAGTTCTGTTGAACAGTATTGGTCTAGAGAATTAGGACAGCAATTAGCTTTGGCCTATGTGGAGATGGCACTATATCCCAGCTGGATTTCTGTGTGTTTTTAACCTGTAGAGTAGAATACCTTTGTCACTTTTAAGAAATAGTCTCCAAGGGAGAGTGGACTCTGGTTTAAACATTTATAACTAATAGCATTTTAATTTTTACAGACAGCAACACAAATTGGAATAGAGTGGAACCTGTCCCCTGTTGGCAGAGTCACCCCAAAGGAATGGAGAGATCAGTAATCATCCCAGTTGATGTAATACTGAATTGTTTCAAAACCAACTCATAATTGATGCCAAGTAAAAGCACTGTGCATCCATTAAAGTATGGCATGGTTGAAGAAATAAAGTACATTTGAAACCTTCGTTGTCGGTTTATTTCTTTTATAATGAAACCAAGCTTGATCACTTTTCATTTAATCTTAGTGTTACTATTTAAGTGAGATGCTTTATAATTTCTTAAATAATTTTTCTTTTTTAAAGATTTTATTTATTTGACAGCGAGAGAGGGAACACAAGCAGGGGGAGTGGGAGAGGGAGAAGCAGGCTTCCTGTGGAGCAGGGAGCCCACTGCGGGGCTCGATCCCAGGACCCTGGAATCATGACCTGAGCCGAAGGCAGGTGCTTAACGACTGAGCCACCCAGGTGCCCCTTAAATAATTTTTCTTTCTGTGGTAGTATGAAAGTAAAATTTGGCTGTCACCTGGAAGTCAACTTTATAGTAAGCTAAAATTACAGTTCATGAATAACTAATCACAGAGTTATTCTAGATCATCTTTTGAGTATCCAGATATTGATTATACCTACTTCATTTCATCTCTAATTTATGTTTATATTTGTAATTGGTATTGTTTTTACTCCTGCCAAGAGAACTTGGGGTGTCACCAGACCCAAGGGAAGAGTGGTCCTATCAAATGAACTCTTAGGATGTCTGAAGATTAGCTAGCTCCTTGGCTCCATTGGCATATTAATCTTAGAGCTTTGGGTCTTTTCATTATATTTATTTAGGATGTATTAATGAAAGGATCTGTCAAAAATAGTTTATTTTCACTTATCCAGCTATCGGTGGTGACCTCTGCTGTTGACTTTCTGTAATTATACCAACTTTTTGATGCATGTATTATCCTGAATTCAATATGACTTTGGATTTTATATGTAAGATGCTAACTGAAGAAAACATCTACACCATGTACTTCAGTACTTCCTTGGCTAAAGGTGTAAAAAGCCTCATTTGTTGATAGTGCTCAAATAAGCAGAAAATGAAATTTCAGTGGAGTAATCTATGTTAGCTAAATTAGAGATTCCTAAATTCACTTACCTATACAGTAAGTTTTCAGGTAAATGGCTTTTAGGACTCTCCAAATTTACCTGATGCAGATAAGGATTTATGCATAACCAAACATTTGAAAAATTTTTACTTATTACATGAAATACTAGAAGAATGCTCTCATGGCATTATGTCCTGTTTTCTCATTAAATGCATCAAAGCTAGTAAGTAATTTCATTGAGTAGGAAAAGTAAGTTGAATGTCCCTGCAAAATAAGTCTCTTGCAAGATTAGTAACTACATGATAGTGCCCGTATTTGATAAAATTTGAACACTTTGTATCATATTTAGAAAGCACGTTAAAATAGGAGTGAAGTGTACAAATGCATGTAACCCTCAGATGTGATTAAGCAAAATAAACACGTCTTTAAGGAAGTTTCAATGTTCATTAGATTATTTACCTTTTTATTTTTGAATTGGCATTCCTAACGACTACAGGTAATTTTCAATATGATTTGTACCACTTCTGTCAGGTAAGTGATAATTGTCAGCTATTATAGGCAATAAAATATGACCTTTAAAAATGTTTGTCCATTTGCCAGCATATATATTGCTTTGTGTGGTAAAACCTGGTGGTGGTAGTTGGCATTTTTGAACAGGCTTTTAAAGCTTAATTTTGTAGTTACCTGACGAGTAATTCTAACTACCTCAGCCACTACCAGAAATGAAGCAGTAGTGTAAGTCTAAATTAGTTTCATCAGTGTTCTGACCTTGCAGCTTTCCTAATGTACTGAGTCAAAGTTTTATCCTTTCACAAATGCACTCTATCCCAAAACACATCAAGTGTTTTAATATCTAGAGTGGGAAGGTTGTCAAGTTAGCCTTCCTATCAAAAATACGTACGTTTGAAGAATTTAGGTAAGTGACTTCAGAAGCATAGCCAGTCCTTGAAATGTTATTTGTTGGAGGACTATGAAGTATTTTTTTTAAATTAGGGTGAATGTCATAAATCCCATTCTTACTTAAATGTAAGTTATGTTACTATGTTTTCTGTTCTTTTAAATTCATTAAACTGGGGCGCCTGGATGGCTCAGTCGGTTGGGCATCTGGCTCTTGGTTTCCACTTGGGTCATGATCTCAGGGTTGTGAGATCAAGCCCCAGGTCGTGCTCTGTGCTCAGTGGGAAGTCAGCTTGAGGATTCTCTCCCCTCTGCCCCTCCTCAGGCTTGCTTGTGTGCTCACTCTCTCATATTTTAAAAAAATTCATTAAACTTACTTAGAACTAGGTACTATAGTAATTGTAGAGGCACAGATAATGAGTTCTCACCCTTGTGACTATTTATTGGGGATATTAATACCACTTTATAAGCATTTTGGGGGCACGTACTATGCTCAACACCAGAAAACCTGATTACTTGAAGACATGCCCTTCTATTTGAAAGCCCTTTAGGTAATAGAGTATATACAACTGTTGGTATGCTTGTGCATTGATAAGGGGGTTTAGGGATGATGCACTTAGAGATGTGAAGTGTTTTAGAGTGAGGGAAAGTTTTCAATGACTAAGGATGTATGTAATAGTCTTGCAGCTCATAATCTTTACATAAAAATTTAGCTGGTAAATTTGAAACTGACAAAGGTTTATGGTTTTTGACTTAGTGAATTTCTTTGAAAGCTTAATATTGTAAGAAGATTGTTAAATGTAAGATGTAAAAAACTAAAATAATGAAAACAAGTCACTGTCAACTTGCTAATAATTGGAAGCTCACTTAAAAGCCATCTTAATTTCATGTGATGTGATTTTAAAAAGATTATATTTATTAGCGCGCGCGTGTGCACAAGCAGGGAGTGGGGCAGAGGGATAGGGAGAGGCATGCTCCCTGTTGAGTAGGGAAGCCCAACGTGGGGCTGGATCCCAGGACCCTGAGATAATGACCTGAGCTGAAGGCACATATTTAACTGACTGAGCCACCCAGGTGTACCCGTGTGATGTGATTTTTAAAAGATTTTAAATTTGGGGTTGAATTTGTGACTTAAGTTTGTGCACATTGATTGACAGTTAATGGCTGGGAAGTTTAGTAGTCTTGATACTTATGTGGATGGGAATAGATGGGGAAGGAATAATTCTTTCTGAAATAATTATAGGCCTAAAATCTAGATCTGTGGTCAATTTTAAAAGTTGCCTGTCAAGGCTTAATAGGAATTTGACAACAGGTGGGGTATAATTGGTTTACTTAACACAAATACGGTTAGTGTGGGGTGCCTGGGTGGCTCAGTTGGTTGAGCGGCTGCCCTCGGCTCAGGTCATGATCCTGGAGTCCCAGGATCAGGTCCCGCATCAGGCTCCCTGCTGAGCGGGGAGTCTGCTTCTCCCTCTGACCCTCCCCCCTCTCATGTACTCTCTCTATCTCATTTTCTCTCTCAAATAAATAAAATATTAAAAAAATATGGTTAGTGTGTGCCACTTCTCTAAGCCTTTTACAAATATTTAATATTTATACTTCGCGTAGTATTTTGAGTTTGGCAACATTATTAGACTTGGGGGCGCCTGGGGCGTCTGCCTTAGGCTCAGGTCACGACTTCAGGGTCCTGAGATCCAGCCCTGCTCAGCGGGGAGTCGGCTTCTTCTCCCTCTCCCTCTGCCCTTCCCCCTGCTCGTGCACGCGCGTTCTCTCTCTCTCAAATAAAATCTACACAAAAAAGACTTGATACTTTTTTTTTAAGATTTTATTTATTTGACAGAGACAGTGAAAGAGGGAACACAAGCAGAGGGAGTGGGAGAGGGAGAAGCAGGCTTCCCGCCGAGCAGGAGTCCAACGTGAGGCTCGATTGCAGGACCTTGGGATCATGACCTGAGCCAAAGGCAGACTCTTAACGACTGAGCCACCCAGGCGCCCCGACTTGATACTTTTCTGATGGGAACTGGGTTCAAACGGTTCCAGCTGAAAATATAATTAATTTCCTCATACATCTCATGACAGATATTCAATGAAAGGAAATATGAAAAGACCACACCTCACTTTGAATTTAGTGAGATGGAGCCTGTTCCTCTTATTGTTAATATTCATTGTTTTAAAAATCTTAGGATTTTGCTCTTTTTTTAAATGTGAAAATGGGGAAACAGGATTAAAAATACACTTTTCTCAAATGCTTTCTGTATCATTTATTGCATCGTATACATTTCATGCATCTCATTTCTTTCTAAACTCATGGTGGTAGATACTCTAATATTCTTTGCATCCTTGAAATCCGCTAGGTTTTTAAGATGATGGACAAGTGAATGGATAAATGGTCAAGTAGTTCAAAGCTTTAGATTGGCGATATGAAGGTAGTGTGAGGTGAGATGCCTGCCCCAACTCCAACACACACAAAGATTATGAATTCAAAAGCATGAATAAAAAATTTTTTTGAGAATTTTTGAATGGAGGGACGAGTGCAAGTTCATAGTTATGGCATTTGCATCTGGAGTTAGGCTACACAGTAACAGAACCACGTTAATTTCATGCTGGGAAAGGCTGAATTAAGCAGATGATTTACAAAGAGGTCTATGGAACTCCATGGTTCGAGGTTAGGAAACTACACATGACACAGGTTTTGGTGGGATTTTGTTTTGTTTTTGGTGATGGGAGGAAGGACGGTTCTCTGCTGCGCCAAAACTTCCACCCGAGGGTGCGTGTCAACCCAGGGGCAGCAGGGGGCGGGAGAAGCTCAACTCTGGGGCTCGCGTCCCTCTTCACGTGACGCGTCCCTCTCTTTGCATCTCAGGCCCTACTTCCGGCCTGGGCGTCACCCGGAAGTGGGGGGAGTGAGGAAAGGACGGGCAAAGGCCGCAGACCCGGGCGGCGGTGAGTGGAGGAAGAGAAGCCGTGGGAGTGCCGCCGCCGCCGCCGCCGCCGCTGCCGCCGCCGCCGCTGTCCCCGACGCCGCCCCCCCACCCCCACGCCACCACTACTGTGTCTTCCCCGTGTGTGTGAGATTGGAACCTGCGCGTGGATTTGCCGCTGCCACGGGCTGCGTAGCTCGCGAGGTTTAACCATAGGAAAGAAAAACCAGGTAAGTCCTATATAGGCTTCCTGTCGTCCCCTTCTACTGGAGAGGTGTTCTGCACTGTCAGTCTCTACTACTGAGTGTAGCGGGGTCATTTTAATCAGGGGCAGTCTCCAAACTCTCACTTCTTCACAACTCTGGTATTTACTACACTTATGTTTTACCTTCCCAGCAGGGGTTAATGGA